TGGAAAAAATTGGAAGAAGTTGGAAAAACTGGAAGGAGTAGGAAAATGTTGGAAAATTTTTAAATGTTAAAAAGTCACTCAATTAAATGATCACCCAAATAAATATGTTTGAAAACTCTAATTTTGGATATAAAAAAATTCATCTTTGTTGTGTTTGAAGTGATATGTTATAAATTTGGATATGTAATGATATTCTATATTAATTATATATAAATAGATTTCTAAAGTTGTTGTTGGAAGAAAACTGGAAGGAGTTGGAAAAAATTGGAAAAAGTTGAAAGAAACTGAAAGGAGTTGGAAGAAGTTGGAAGTTAATTTTTTTAACATAAAAGAACAGGACCTAAATGGTTATTACTAAAACACTATTTGCTTGCTAAATCCTCCCTCCGTTCTAAAATTAACTTTTTATTTGATTTTTCACGATCTCCAATACAATATTTTGATCATTAATATCTCTATTTATATATAAATATATATTATGAAAATAAGATATTTTAAAACTAGGTTTCAAAATAAATCTATTGATATTTAATTTATAAAAAAATTTAATATTTTTTATAACATGCGGTCAAACGTTAAAAAAATTTACCACAAAAGTTAAACTCGGAATTAATTTTAAGACCGAAGGAGTAACATTTAACAATTCATTTTTTAACAATTTCATTGGGATGCTCTAAGGAAATTTTGGAAAAATCAAAGTAATATTTACGTCCAATTTAAAATGAAGTTTGGTCAAACTGATGTTTAAGACGGACGAATAACGTGGTATTTGGAAAGATGATTAAGATATTTGTACCCTAAATTGTAAATTATAAGTATGGACTTTCATTTTGTGTCAATTTAATGATAAGGTAATTGTTTATACAAACGCAAAATATTAATACAATTTTTATAAATTATATTAACATTTTATGGCAGTGTAAATCATCAAAATATTAGTGTATCTCTTCGATGTAACTTTATAAAATACTACCTCCGTATTTTATAAATTAGTATGTCCACTTTTGACTTTTGGAACTGTTCATCTAAGCACTTTGATTGATCAAATTCTCTCAATGTGTAAGCCTAAATATAGTAATGTGTGATCTTGTTTAATTTGTCTTAACATATAGATTATTAATATATAATTTCTATAATTTTTTAATATACAAATTACAAGATAAAATGGATTAAAGAAATGTATTGGATGATGTGCCAAAAAGTAAGTGAACAAAGAGAGTGAGACGGAGAGAGTATTTGGTATAAGTGTACCATAATTGTTGGAAATAAGTTGACGGATCGGACGGAAGTCCCGATAACTCCACTCCAATAAGGGACCCCAATCGACCAATGCGGCATCAAAGTCATTGATTGTCTGAATCCGTCCTGGAAATTCAAAACAAAAATGAAAACAATATGCTAAAACAATCCGCGGGCGTTCATCCATGGTTTCCTTCACGTTTTTTTCCGAATTGTGGAATTATGTGTCCTCCTCTAGTCCTCTTTATCAATTTAATTTTGTTTATTCAATTTAATTTTGTTTATTCCTTGCCCTATTTTTTGATGTTCTTAAAATAGATTCTGTTATTTAGGACTGAAAAAAAATGAATGTTGAAAGAACTGAAAGAAACTAGAAAAATTTCAAAAAATTAGAAAACCTAAAAAACCTTTAAAAAAATTTATTTTAGCGTATTTTTATATTATTTTCATTCTAATTCTTGTTGTTATAATAATAATAGTAATAATAATAATAATAATAATAATTATTATTATTATTATCATCATCACGTTATCTTAATGAATGCTTTTAACATAAAAACAAGTATTGTTATTTTTTATACACAAAAAAACTACTTTTACAAAAAAAATTATAATATAAAGTTAGCATAAATATCAAAATGTTAAATTTTAAAAAGTTATTATGGTAACGTTGTACCTCAATTTATTTATGCAGTATTTATTATAAAATAATATATTTTTAATTATACTTTATATATTACAAGATTTTTTTTTTGAATATCAACATGTCACATAATGTAACCAAGCCTAGTTTTTCTTTCATGATTGACATTTTATTTTCATTGTAACTCTTATTTTTGCAATATAGATATAGAACTTTTTTGTATATTTTTTATGTTTTACTGCTATTTTAGTCTTTTCCTCTAAACTATTTTGACTTTCAAATTTTTTTAAAAAAATTAGAAAAATGAAAAAAAATAATTTTGAAATAAATAAAAATGAGAAAAAATTAAGTAATAAAGGAAAATGTGAGAGGTCTTATATAAAGTGAGATTAATAAAATATTCTGTGTAACTATTTTATCCATAATTTTTTAATATGGTTTAAAATATTGATGTTTTCCTACTTTATCATGTAGATTAATATACAAAAAATTATCTTATTGAAGAAAAAATTGAAGAAAAAATAATGTGTACAAATCTTAAAAATAGTGAGACGAAATAAAAATTATTTATAAACTATAGTTATGAACATAATAGTTGTAATAATAATAATAATCACATTAAAAATATATCGTTTTTAGATTAATTGGTTGGGGAGTAGAAAGAATTTGAAAAAAATGAGAATAGTTGGTAGAAACTGGAAGTAACTGGAAGAAACTAGAAAGAACTCAAAAAAATTAGAAGAAACTGGAAGAAACTTGAAAGAATTGGAAGAAACTAGAAGTTAACAGTTTGAGTCACAGACTCTCAACTCACTTGTTTCAATATTAAAGTGTTATATATTTTTCACTCAACTACTTTTTTTATTTTTATTACATTTATTACAATTTACAAAGTAGAGACGATATTTCTTAATCAAATGTTTCTTCAAAAAAGTTATCCTCTTTTTGTAAAAAAAAATTACTCCGTAGATAACTAGCAAAAATAAATGACTAACATTTTTCTTGTGAACATTTGGTGTCACCTTGGCGTACAATACTTTTCTCGGTCATTAGATAACTCACCAAATTGTAACGCAAATCTCAACATATTTTTTTAACACTTTGATCTTTTTTAAAAAAAATTAAAACAAAGAAAGGAGTGTTGATTAGATTTTGACCGTTGACCACCACCTTTGACTGCTGCTCCGCCACCACGAGGCCGCCGACGCTGGTCGCCGCTGCTGACCGGTGGTTGACCGGTGTTGCTACTTTATTTCTAATTAATTTTTTAATTTTCAAAATTAAAAAAAAGATGAGTTTTGGTATTCAAAGTGGTGAGCTTTGCTTTATTTTCAGGTGAGCTTTGCTTTGTCCATTGGTGAGCTTTGTAGTGTAGTGTGGTGAGCTTGGCGTCATCTCACCGTAAGGTGTCATCTCACTGGAGTTAATCCTATATATATATCTGTATGTGTGTGTATCCGAACAACTATTTTCAAATATCTAATTTTACCAAACATTTTTAACGATCAGTCAACTTATCCTGTCAGTCAAACCTGCTAAACTAAACAGGTAATCAGAACAGTTGACACAAATTACCAACAGCTGACAGTGGACATCCAAACAAGGCCTTAATGTTCTTGCCAAAAATGGGCTCTATCTAACAGCAGGATTGAGCTTTATCATATTCAAAATTAATCAAGACTATTAAAATTGAGTAAATTCCATAATTGATCCTTTATAACAGGGGGTTTCCCTACTTAGTTCTCTATTATCAAATATTACTTCGGTGGTCCTTCTTTTATGGGCATCTTTCCACAAACAGTCCTTTTTCTGATCTCCTATCATATGTTGGTGTTAATTTGAGGACTAAAACTATAATTTCACAATGACAATATATCTTTCTTGTCATGCATATTTCCAAAGACCGCTCCTGATGCGTCGTTTGTGAATTACAGTCGCTTTCTACTACAACCATAGTTTACAAATGCGATCTTTAATCAGAATCTTAGCTCACAATCATAGTCATTATTTTTATGTTATTAGTCTAACCAATATCAGAATATGTCATTCGACATAAGGTTGATGTCAAGTTATACTTTTAACCTTTAAATTAACACCAACACGGCAGAAGATTAAAAAAAGGACCATTTGTGGAAAGGCACCCATAAAAGAAGGACTACGGGAGTAATATTTGATAATAGAGGACTAAATATGGAAACCCTCCTATTATAAAGGACCAAATATAGAATTCACTCATTAAAATTTTATAGAAAATCCTAACATCTATAAAAAAAAAACATTGTTTTCAAACAAGACTAGTTTTCAATGTGCTCCATGTGTCCCCAAATAATTGTCCTATTTTGACTTTTATGGTTTTTACCACATATTAAATATAATTTTAAATAAAAAAATATTATAAAAATTTGGTATATCAAACTTACATCTTTAAATGATACCAAATTTATTAAATTTTAGATTGTAACTAAGAGTATGTTCTCTTCCTATGATCTCATTGGATTTAATATGATATTACTCCCTCCGTCTTAAAATTATCTTCCCGTTTGTGTTTACGAGGTTTGACCGACTTTATTTTCAATTCAATTTATTTGATTGTAGGTGTAAAATTAAAAAAATAAAATTTCTATATTTAAAATCTTAATCAAAAGTTCTTCAAAATAAGAGGTGACAAGACTATATTATTTTATCAAATAACTAACGTAAATAGTAAAAAAGTGATTTAAGTTTGATTATGTGAATAGTAACTAGGAAGAACGTTTTGGGATGGAGGGAGTATTAAAGTTTGATCTAATTTGATTTGATCTAATTTTATTAAAAATAAGTTATAAGTAAAAAGAATAAGTTGAAAAGAACAAGTTCTAAATATATTTTTAAAATTTATAATCAAAGTGATAAAAAAAATTAAATTCGAACAGTAATTTTAAAACGGATGAAGCATATACTCTATCTCTTCTAAAAAGAATGTCTCATTTCACTATTTAAAAATCATAAGAATTTTTCTTTATTTTTACATTTTCTTTGATTATTTGATAAAATATTTTTTTTATCATCTCGAGAATAAAAAAATGAAACTTGTACTTTGTGAGGGTTTAATCTTATTTATGATGATTTTCTTTTAGAAGTTGGAGAAATTATTTGAGGAGGGAGTATAAGATAGATCGTCTAATTTTTTGAAGGGAAGAGTCTTCTTTTCTCCAGTTAACTTGTGGAGTAATTATACTAGTGCTTTAAAAGAAAAAAAGAGCTCCTCACAACGAAATGGCTGTTTGAGCGAGGCAACTGCGATTCGTCGTCTGGTAATCTTCAAATCCTTTCTGCCCATGTCAAAATTTCGTTTCTCTAATTCAAATTTGAAGGAAAAGAATGATTTTTTTTCCTTCGTTGTTTTTTCTTGAATTATGTACTACTTGAGTATAAATTTATGCTTAGCTTGATTCGAATTTAATTTCAAATTATCTGCATTTGTGTTTCTTGTTCATTAATCTTGTTCTAGGCTTTAATTTTTTTTCTACAAGTCATTTTTTGTAATTTGATATTCACTGTTCATTTTCAAGGAGTAATTTTATTGATCTGGCTCCTAACATTTACTCTCGTGATATTTTCTGGAGTTTGATATTGGGCTGAGGAAGAGTGAGGAAATGAGTTTTGGAATGCATCAAAGGCCAAATGATTTCAAATGTTTCTGCTTTATAATTTCTCCAAGGATTTTTAAATTACTAATGGGATACAAAAAAAAACAATTTCCAATAACGCTGAAAAACTTTAGGTGTTTGTATTAGAGGATTAGAGCATCTCCAATGCATTGGGTATATGGTAAAATATACACTTTTTACACTTTATTTTTCATTTTATCTCACTCCAATGGATAGTGTAAATGTGATGATAAAATGCACTATAGTGCAAAAAACAACCCACACCTTCTATTTCTACAAGTTACTGTAGATAGGGAAAATAGTTTTTAAAATTATTCTGTGGCCCTTTTTTATCTCTCGTCACTCTCTCCCCCTCCTCTCTTTATCATTTCTGCTGTCTTCTTCAATCCAAAATCACCGGTGCTGCTATGCTCATTCCCTTTCTCAGGTAAAATGCTGGAATTTATATTAATTGTGTTGATGGCTAGTTATTTTATCCTTTTATGTGGATAGATATCTTATCCAATGTTGAGAGAAAATCTTTCTAAAATGAAAATCCTACTACTTCTAAATATTTGTCCAGTTTTGATTTAAGATCAAAGTTTACCAATTTTACCAAAAAAATTAAAAATGAACAACTAATTATTTAGATATTTACTTTTAAATAATATTGTGAAATTTTTAACAATAGATTAATTAGATTATACAAAAAAAATTGATTCGATTTTGACATAATAAAGGTGATTATAAAAATAAAATGCTCTAATTATTATGCATAACTAACTCAAAATAATAAAATATTACAAAAGTGTATAATATAAAAGATATGGTTGGAGTAAGTATAAAAAAGTAGATGTGTAAAACACTGTTGATAGTGTAAAATTGCATTTACACTACCAACTTTTACACTATCCCTTGAAGATGCTCTTACAATAGCTACTATCCTTATAATTATGCTTGGTAAAATTAGTTGTTTATGGAGAACTTGTTTACCAGTTCTTATTTATTTTGTAAACCACGTTACGATTTTCGAAGAGTAATAAACACAATCATTTTCAATCAACAATTGTAATCAGCTACAAGTATTAGAAATCCTTGCTGATTTAGTGCCCTTTTGGCAACAACTTCAGTTTAACTTTAGTGTTTTGAAAAGGCTATCTAATGACAGTGTTTAGCTTTAGCATTTTCAAAGTTAATCTTCACAATTAAAAAATATCGAAAACACTTGCATAAAAAATGTTCCCACAAAGGCCTTAGTTTTGGCGGTTTGGAGTGAAACATTTGTTTGACTTTATTCAAACAACTAAAGACCTTTAATTACATCTGTGATAACTACCACATGTACTTTTATAGCTATTACTTATGTATAATTCAATGTTGTTTGTGTTGTTTAATAGTCACATTTTGTTTCTCTTGATGGCTTTGTTAATATGCGAATAGGCCTTAGCTTAGTTCTCACAACTATTTTGATTACTTGGTGTGTGTATGCCTTAATCTTTGCCTCGTGATCGAGTTTTGTTTTTTGCTTATTGGTTTTGAGAAGTTCATTTTAGTTCTTATGGTTGTTCCAATGATTTGGTGTATGTCTTTGCCTCCACAAATGTTTTTGTTTTAGCTTGGTTTATCCCAAATATTGAATATTACAAGGTAATGTTTCCAACTGTTTTTTCAAGGTGTTAAGAAATTTAAATATCAATAGTTCTTTAAAGAAAAGATATGCATTTTCTCATTAAAATTAATTTTGATTGTAAATGTTCTCACCAAAAGTTTAGTACAAGTTACAAAAAAACTTTCTAATTTTGCAGCGAGATCTATGAACAAATCTTTCCTCTCAAAGAGATATGGTGCGGGGCGTATAAATCCCGTAAAACGATGTTCCCAAAAAAGGCCTTAGTTTTGGTGTTGAAACATTTGTTTGACTTTATTCAAACACTAAAGACCCTTAAATTACAAAAAAAATGTTCATTGGGATATTTACCAAAAACCCCCTTTATAACTCTGTACTTGATTACATAGGTAACAAACCTTGAAAATTTCTACTTGAATTTTAAGATATCTTACATTGAGAAAAGATTTAAAAAACAAACCAACACACAGCCACCTTTCTTATATATCTATCTAGGCTGGTCACCATTTATCTGATCTTTTTTCAAATCTAAGTGTATTAACCAGTTTTTCCCCTATTTTTGTATACAATTCCATTTGCTTTATTTCTTTTGAAGAAAAAAATCAATGGGAGGCGGTGTTTGATGATGACAATTCTGGTTAAGTATTCAAAACTTGATTAATTTATGATGCCAATATACATTTTCATAGATGGTGTAATTGGTCAAATAACACAAATATAAAAAAATAGATGGTGTAAAAGCTCCGGTCATAAGAACTTCAGCTGCTCCTATTAGGGTTGATCTTAAGCCTGAAAGTCCAAGTCTTAGTATTTGCATCAATGCATTTTCAACTCTAATTAATGAGAAATTTGATCTATGTAAGCCTAGATAAACTTAGTGCATGATAATGTTACGGCTGCGTGGAGGCTTCTCGAAAGGAGAAAGAGAGCCCCGAGGCACGTAACAGAAAAGAGAGAGAAAATATGAGAATGAGAGAGAGAGAGTAAATATTCTTTCTTATTTTCTTTCAATCCAACGCCACGTGCATATATATGAGTCCTCAAACGACTTAGCACACAAGAAAGGAAAAACAAAGAAGGAAAAATATAAAGGGATAAAATAGTAAATAGCTAATGTTGGGCTTGGGCCACATCATTCCTCCCTCCTTGGCAATAGCTTTGTCCTCAAAGCTCAAAATGTGGGAATTTCTGCCTGAAGATTTCAGACCACTCCCAAGTTGCCCCTTCTTCCGGCACTCCTTGCCATTTGACCAAAAATTGCACCCCAGCTTTATTTGCCTTCTTCTGAATCCTCCTAGCCAATATGGCCTCTGGTTCCAGGGCCTCATGTCCATCCTTCCCTTGCATCCAATGGGGTATGTGTGGAGCAGCTGGTAGTTCCCCCTTGAAAGCCTTGAGTTGGGAAACATGGAAAACTTGATGAATTTTTACATGAGACGGAAGATTAAGTTTGTAGGCTACCTTCCCCACCTTAGCCATGATTTGGAATGGCCCAAAAGGGGTCATTTGGATGGCAGAATGGAAGGTAGTATTGTACCACCACTCAGCTAGGGGAATCCATTTGCACCACTCCTTGGGATTATGGAAACACATGCACCTTAAGTAAGTTTCCAAGCATCTATTAACCACTTCAGTCTGCCCATCTGTTTGGGGATGGTACGCAGTGGACATCAAGAAGTCTACTCCATGGATGGTGAAAAGAGACTGCCAGAATTGACTAAGAAAAATAGCATCTCTATCACTTACAATAGTACTTGGCATGCCATGTAGTTTGAACACATTATCAAGATAACTCTGAGCCACTTCCACAGCAGTGTAGGGGTGAGAAAGCACCATGAAATGAGCATACTTGCTCATTCTATCCACCACCACAAAAATTACATCCTTACCCATAGATTTAGGTAATCCTTCTATAAAATCCATGGATACATCTTTCCATATTTCAGTAGGGATTTGGAGAGGTTGTAACAGGCCAGGGTAAGCTGAGTTGTCATACTTACAGGCTTGACAAATAAGGCACCTCCTTACAAACTGTGAGACATCCTTGTTCATCCCTTTCCAGTAAAACACAGCCTTCAGTCTCCTTAAGGTGGCTTCTCTTCCGGAGTGTCCTGCTACAGGGGAGGTGTGGCCCCACTTCAACAGCTTAGCCTTGAGGACTTTGTCGGGACCTACTACTAGCTTTCCCTTTCTCCTTAACTGATTTTCCACCCATGTATAGTGATGAACTGGTTGATTCTGCTGTAGTGAGTGTATATAGGATTGTAGGGTGGGGTCACTCTGCCAACTATTCACAATCTCTTTCAACAATGATGAGTCAATGGCAGAGAGAGCCAAGTATAGTATTTCTGCTCCAGTTTTTCTGGACAAAGCATCAGCTGCTGTATTTTCCTTTCCCTTCTTGTATTGTATTTCATATGTGTACCCCATAAGCTTTGACAACCAAAATTGTTGAAATGGGGTGGAAATCTTACTTTCAAGTAGCCATTTAAGACTCTTCTGATCCGTCTTGATAATAAATGGTTGATGCACCAAGTACTGCTCCCATTTTTGTACAGCGAAAACCACTGCCAAAAGTTCCTTTTCATAAACTGATCAGGCCTGCCATCTAGGTCCCAAAGACTTGCTAATATAGGCCAGCGGGTGCTGTTCCTGCATCAGCACAGCTCCTATTCCACCTTGTGAAGCGTCAGTCTCTACAATAAAGGGTTTGGTGAAGTCTGGTAAGGCCAGTACAGGCGCCCTACAGAGGGCCTCTTTTAGAGCTTGAAAAGCCACTGTAGCTTCTGCTGTCCATTGAAATGGGCCTTTCTTCAATAAGTTAGTAAGGGCTTTGCTGATGGAAGCATAATTTTTAACAAACTTCCTGTAGTATCCAGCAAGTCCTAAGAAACTTCTCAATTCCTTGAGGTTGGTGGGAGTTGTCCAGTTCTGTATAGCTTCTATCTTGCAGGGATCAGTAGACACTCCTTGTCCTGATATGAAATGACCCAGGTATTCTATCTTCAACTCCCCAAACGAACATTTACTCCTTTTTGCTAATAGTTGATTTTCCCTCATTGTGTGGAACACCTCCCTTAAGTGTTTGTAGTGGAGTTCCCAAGAAGTACTATAGATAAGTATATCATCAAAGAAAACCAACACAAATTTCCTTAGCTGGTTCCTAAAGATATGGTTCATCAAACTCTGGAAGGTGGCAGGAGCGTTAGTAAGCCCAAATGGCATGACAAGAAATTCATAATGTCCATGATGGGTCCTGAAGGCTGTTTTGTGAATGTCCTGAGGTGTCAGTCCGTGTCACTCTTATTTGATGATACCCAGACCTTAGGTCTATCTTGCTGAACACATAAGCTCCTGCCAATTCATCAATCAGCTCATCAACCAGTGGTATAGGAAATTTGTGTTTCACGGTTTGTTTGTTCAATCCCCTGCAGTCTACACAAAGTCTCCAACTACCATCTTTTTTCCCCACAAGAACAACTGGTGAGGCATAAGAACTCCCACTGTCTTGTATTATGCCAGTCTGCTTCATTTCTTTCACAAGCTGTTCAATCACATCCTTTTGCTTAAGAGGGTACCTGTAAGGCCTAATGTTCACAGGAGTTGCATTAGGATGTAAAGGTATGGCATGGTCAAAGACCCCCCTAGAAGGTGGGAGTCCCTGAGGAACTTGAAACAAATCTTGATACTCTTCCAGCAACTCATGAAGGGCTATAGGCTTGTCCTTATTCACTGTTTCAGTAGTAAAGTTATCCTCATCCTTAACAACACCGGAAGGAACAATTTGCAATAGACACAATTGGCTAGTGCTATTCAAAACTTTTGCCAGATTATTAGATTTTACCTCAGTGACAAGCCTTTTAAGACCCCTCAAGATCTGTTTACTCCCCTGGTATATGAACTCCATCTCCAATTTGCTGAAGTCCCACTTCACAGGTCCTAGTGTACTTAGCCATTGTACACCTAGAACTACATCACATCCACCAAGGGGAATAAGGAGCATATCAGAACTAAAGGTAGTTCGGTGGAGTCTCCATTCAAACTCCTTGCACCTGAACTCACACCGCAGCTGATTACCATCAGCCACTATGACTGAAGTAGCTATGATGGGATCCAATTTGCACCCCAATCTTTTAGCGAGTGATAAGTCCAAAAAATTATGTTTACTACCTGAATCTATGAGAATATGTAGTGGTTTCTGGCCGTAGTACCCTGTCACCCTCATTGTTTGGAACCCCTGGCTGCCATTAATAGCATTTGCCGAAATAAAAGGGTTATTCCCCTCGATTAAGCAGTCAGATTCAGATTGCATAAGTTCCTCTTCTGTTTCAGATTCCCCTGGTACTTCAACCAAAAATAGTTGGGTGCCCTTCCCCACACATTTATGCCCTTTAAAGGTTTGTCACAATAATAACAAAGCCCCTTTGCTATCTTTTCTGCTCTTACTGCAGCTGGTATGAATCTTGGTTGGTTCACCACAGGAACTGCATTTACTGGCTTTGTATTAGGGGTGGGTAGCAGTCCCTTGTTGAAATTGATCATTGGCTTAGCAGTCCTCTCTGGCCCTTTGATGGCTTGTACAGTTTCTTCCTGGCATCTAGCATACTCAATAGCTTCAGACAAAGTTCCTGGCTTCAAAGCCCTCACAAATGCTTTGATGTGGGGCTTGAGCCCTCCTACAAAACTGTCCAGGAAATGGTTCACAGGGAGCGTAGGGTTTTTCATCAACATACAAGACCTCAGCTCCTCAAATCTGTCCACATAGTCATCTATACTCCCAGTCTGTTGCAACTTGTTAAACTCCTCAACCACCTTCGAGCCTAACTCATCCTTGAATCTAGCACTCAGATCCACCACAAAGTCTTCCCACGTGATGTTGGCTCTGCCCAGAGTATAGCTATTATACCATACAGCAGCTTTTCCGATCAAATATATAGAAGCTAGATCCACTCTTTTTGTATCAGGAATTTGACACAACGAAAAGTATTGCACACACTTTTTAATCCATATTCTCACATTAGATCCATCAAATTGTGGGAACTCAACTTTGGGATTAAAATGGATTGGTTTGTGATTACCTCCCTCCATACGTCCAATGTATTCATTGCCACCCCCGGTATTATTAGGTGATCCCCCACTTGATAACGCTTTAATATGCTCTACCATCTGACCGAACAGATGCTGTTGTTCATCGATCCTTCTGTTTTGCTCTGCCATCTGATCAACCAGCGCCTTAAGAGTTTCTTCTATTGACACCATTTGTGCTGCTTTCCGTCTTGTCAGCGCCAGATCTTGAGGCTCTGATACCAATGTTACGGCTGCGTGGAGGCTTCTCGAAAGGAGAAAGAGAGCCCCGAGACACGTAACAGAAAAGAGAGAAAATATGAGAATGAGAGAGTAAATATTCTTTCTTATTTTCTTTCAATCCAACGCCACGTGCATATATATGAGTCCTCAAACGACTTAGCACACAAGAAAGGAAAAACAAAGAAGGAAAAATATAAAGGGATAAAATAGTAAATAGCTAATGTTGGGCTTGGGCCGCATCAGATAACTACTAAGTTGCGAGGAATAACACGTTTCCAATCACCCTAAACACAGCCTTTATTTAGTATTTATAGGTGTCTTGAACAATGTATTGTATATGAATGTTTTGACAGCTGATTAAACGATATCTTCATCATCGTGAACAATTCTTTCTACAGAAGTTCAGAAATTGGGCATTGGAAACTTGAAGTTGCAATATCTTCAACAATGTCTATTCTAACAAAATTCCGATGTATCACACTCGATGTTACGGGCACACTGATAGCTTACAAGGGAGAGCTCGGTGACTACTATTGCATGGCAGCCAAAGCCGTTGGACTTCCGTGTCCCGACTATAAAAGAATGCATGAGGGCTTCAAACTTGCATATACAGACATGGCAAGAAAACACCCATGTTTTGGGTATGCGGAAAAGATCCCTAACCGTGAATGGTGGAAGACTTGTGTCCGAGATTCATTTGTGAAGGTAGATATCAACTCTGAATGCTCGATTCAAAACTTTGTTTGGTATACCTTTTCTTTGGGTTACCAATTTAAATTTTCACCATAAATAAACTTAGTGCATTTTGCTGACTGAATTAGTGTTTAATGAAAAAGGTAATGCAATTGTGTTTTTGGTTGGTGCTGAAATTAGATATAATGACATTTCTATGTTCATTTTTAGATATTATTTTCTTCAACGCATTCAAGAAATATGCTGTAAATAATACTCCCTCCGTCCCAAAATATTCACAACATTAGCATTTTCAGCAGTCGCGGGAACTTTTGTTTATTTCTATATTTTCATTGGTTATTTGATAAAATAAAATATTCTTGACACCTCTTATTTCGAAAAACTTTTCATGTAGTTTTTTGATATGTAAATTTTATTTTTTATTTCTATACCAATATGTAAATAAAATGAATTGAAAAAACTTGATATTTTATCTCGGGGATACAAGTGTGGCAAATATTTAGGGACGGAGGGAGTACTTTTTAGCGGCCAAGTCAGGGACAATATTAGAAAATTTGATAGTTTCAGCCACTCTCATTAACGATTCAAAGATTCGATAGATTCAAAGAATTGATAGATTCAAAGAAGATATGATAGATCCAGCCACTTTATTTCCATCATCTCCGTTGGAGCCAAAGAATCACTACTTTTTGACTTTGAGGCATATGGAATAAAGCAAAGTGGCATATATACTCCATATAAAAATTATACCAAATTATATATACCCCATCACATTAAAAGAATGCATGAGGGCTTCTCTGTGTTTTAAACATTACATCAGAGCTCCTTACTCTGCAATGGGCAAGAGCTTTTGAGGCATTGGTGTAATGTTCTTGTTGTTGTTGTTGTTGTTGTTACTCTTGTCAAGCTTTGTCCTTCCCAAAAGGCTCAAGCTCTGCAAGTCTCGGTTATTATTTTTTCAAATGAAATGCACTAATAAATGTCTGGCATAATAATGTTTTCTTGGCAGGCAGGATATGAATATGATGAGGAGACATTTGAAAAGATCTTTAGGCGCATATATGCGACCTTTGGTTCCGCTGCACCTTACTCTATATTCCCAGATTCTCAACCATTCCTTAGGTGGCTTCGTTCTACGGGCGTTACAGTCGGGCTTATCAGCAATGCCGAATATCGGTATCGTGATGTTATCCTTCCAGCACTAGGTTTGAACCAGGTGAACAGTTCATACAAAATTTTTGCATGCTTCAGACTATCCTACTAGGAGCAGGAGTGAAAACCAGACTTTTTCTTATATATATATATATATATATGTCTTGAATCAGGGATCTGAGTGGGATTTTGGAGTATTCTCTGGCCTAGAGGGTGTAGAAAAACCAGACCCAAAGATCTATAAGATTGCATTAGAGAGAGCTGGAAATGTTGCACCGGAAGAAGTTCTGCACATAGGGGACAGCATGAGGAAAGATTTCATACCGGCAAGAAGTGTGGGGATGAATGCGATTCTGCTCGACAGATTCAAGACAGCTGATGCCGAAAGTTGGAGGCAATCTGGAGCCACTGTGCTACCCGACCTGAATGCAACCAAAGATTGGCTTACTTCTCCATCTGATTCATTCTCTCCATAAGTAGTAAGCCGCTTATCTACATTCATTATTGTTGTTCTAAGTTAATTATACTGTCTTGTTTTGTTTTCGTTGTTGTCCATTCGTTCATGTTGTATTTGACTGTTCGCGTTTTGGAAATCAAATTAAATGAATCGGCGTTTAGTGACTTTGGTTCGAGTACATATTGCCCTTGGTTTTGCTCTTTCTTTTTCTTTGTAAATCAACATGTAAAGATTTGAAATACTGCTCCAGACATTTGGTCTTTTAAAGAATGAAACCAAGTCTTAATATAGCTAGTAATGTCGGGAGAAATTGTGATCAAGCGTCTCCATTGAACTATTGTTGGGATAAACGCACGCGGAAACAACACACAATCACGAATCAACTGCAGAAAAATAAACGACACAAGATTTAACGTGGTTCGGTTGCCAACTGCAACCTACTCCACACGGGGCAACTAGGAGGATTTTATTTCATTGTTGTTGCACCACAATTACAAGCACATTAGCATCTCTTAAATAGAGATTAGTTAGGGAGACAATGATTAAGCCGTAAGCTTCTAGGTAGCTTCCTGCAAATTTCCTATTAGCTTCCACCTAGCTTTCTGGCTTCACACTCAACAATCTCCCACTTGAAGCCACGGAACAATGTTCACCTGCGCTTCAACTGTGCACATGTACTTCTGTAATCTGATAACGGAACTCAAAATTCCACCACCTCTAGTTGCCACCAGCCTTCTTGATCATCGAGAAGACTCTATTGAAACTCTCCTAAGTTTCAACCCATCAGTCATGGCTTGAACTGCCCCTGACTCGTCCTCTGTCCCTACCGGCTCCCACTGCACACACGCACTGCCGGATCCTGGAACATCTTGAGAACAAACAATCTCCATAGTCAGCAAGAAATCTTCTGGAGACATTTCAACAGATGGAATAATACTGGTTCTCCGGACCCACTGTTTTCTAAGAACCTTGGCTGAAGCACCAGCTGTGCTCCCACTGCCACAGATACCTCTAACTGGCCTCCTTGAACCTTTCCTCACTCGTTCATCCTGAGTCTGACCTGTGGCTCTAGGTTTCTCTCTTGCATAGACAACCTTATTCTGCCCACGAGACTCTGTGAACCGGACTTTGTTTCTCTTCTGAACTGGGACGGTCACTCCCTCAGACGGTAACCCGACCATGTACAACGACCCACTCTTCCTTCCACGGGCCATGACAAGATTTCCCTTCACGACCTTCCACTGCCCGTTTCCGAACTTCACCTCGTGTCCCTGTTCGTCCAACTGGCTGACAGAAATCAAACTTTTCTTCAAGCCTGGAACCACTCTGACATCCTTCAAAGTCCAGAAACTGACTGGGGTCTTCAACACTATGTCACCCATGCCCATCACATCAAGAGCTATGTCGTCTGCTAGTCGTACCTTTCCAAAGTCCCCAACAACTAGATTCTGCAATGCTTCACCGTTGTGGGTAACATGAAATGAAGCACCAGAATCCATGACCCAGGAATCCACATTTCTCTCCGCACAACAGATAAACAAATCCTCGTCGCTCGCGGAGCCTTCAGCAATGTTTACTTGCTTATCCTCTTTTGGGCATTGATTCTTGAAATGCCCCACCTCCTTGCACTTCCAGCATGTTACGCCTGAGCTATCTCGAGTCTTCGATTGACTCCTTCGTTTGTTCTTGCTCCCACTACATCTGTTATTTCTTCTACCTCTAACGATATTTAGTGATTCTCCAGAAGACTCACCAGAACTCCTTCTTCTGACATCTTCTCCAAGAACGAGATCACGAATCTTCTCAAAAGTGAATTGGTCAGGTCCCGCTGAACTGGTAACTGCTGTAACAGTTCAGGACCAACTGTCAGGCAATGACGATAACAGTAGTAAAGCTTGAACTTCATCATCGAACTTAATGCCCACTGACAAAAGTCTGGCTAAGATCGAGTTCAACTTGTTGATGTGCTCGGTAACTGAAATGCCATTTTTCATCCTTGTGTTCACCAATTCTCTAATCAGAAACACTTTGTTTGCCGCAGATGGCTTCTCGTACATGTTAGACAGCGCTTCCATAATGCCTTTCATTGTTGTCTCCTTCAGAATGTTGAACGCAACATTTTTGGTCAACGAGAGTCGGATCACGGACATTGCTTTCCGATCCAAACCTGCCCAATCTGCATCTGACATCTTTTCTGGCTTCTCACCTAAAACCACGTCCAAATCTTTCTGAATCAACAAATCTTCAATTTGCATTCTCCACCAACTGAAATCTGTACCATCGAACTTTTCAATTCGGAACTTTCCATCTTCTGCCATCTCCAATGACAAGATGAGATACCCGGTACAACTAATTTCAAATCTTGATATTTTTATTAGATAAAATATCTAGGACACAAAAAATTAACACCACCCACAAAAACAATCACCCACGTCCAAGACCAATTAATTACTCCTACCCCACCACTATCTCCAAACTCCACTCACACGCCAAACAAATCCAATTTAAAAAAACTTGGGCCACCACCTTGCAAATCACGAGTGGCTCCTTCCTTTTTTTTGCACCTTTTCCTTTCCGTCCCTTTTCGCACAGTCACACCTCACCTTCTTCCCCTTGGCAGCGCACTTCCGCAGGGGAACAAGAGGGTGGCACGGTTTTGGACTCTGCACGGCGAAGGCTTCCAGGACGGTGGCGGCGGCTCCTCCACGCGGCGGCGGCTCTTTCTGCCGCTACTCCTGCGTGTGGCGGCCTGTACGCAAACGGCGGCGGCGATCTGGTGTGTCGGCGGTGGCGCGGCGGCTCCTCAACCTGGCGGCGGCAACTCCTCAACGCGATGGCGATGGCTCTCCGGACCAGAGCTGCACCTTTTCGCACGGCTAGTGGCGGCAGCGGTGAGTCTCCCGTGACTCACTCCCTGCTGCGGCTCTCCCGATTCAAGTGCGGCAGCTCTTCGTGGGGATCAACGTGGATGGTGGTGCTCCGGCGGCAGCGCCCCTCACTACGGCCCCTGCTGCTGCACCAAGTTCTTAGGTGACACTCCTCTCTCTGCTGATCGAATTTCCGGTGTGTTAGCGAACCAAAGGTCCGATACCACTTGTTGGGATAACAAGGAAAAGGAACACCATTTCTGAAGGGGACAGAATTCTAATCGGAAAAGGAACAGCATAAACTTGCAATGCTCAGAATGGCATTTAAGATGTCAAAGGTTCTACTCTCAAAATAATAAGTGTCCTTTATCAATATATTTTTTTTTTCAAAAAAATTATAACCATGTTTTAGGCGTGTAACTTTTGTTTTTTAGCAAACGTCCAGTGAAGCCAAGCATCGAGTGATTTTAGTCATTTACTCCAACATAGGAAATACTTTTGAATTTCAAAGCTTTAGGCTACCCATAATGCCACACGGAGCATTTCCCGTGGTCCGCCGTGGCATTGCAACGTCCCCACGTGACGATGGGCTACACTCCCCCCCCCCCCCNTACGACGCTGATGTTCTGACTTTTTTTTAGGTTCCAACGGGTATGACTAAAAAAATTAAAAATTTCAATTTCAAACCCCATACACTCTCATCTATTTAAACCATGCAATCTTAATATATTTTTAAACACATTCCCTTCGTATTTCTTTCTCCCATTTATTTAAAATTCTACTAAAAAGATGAATATTTTGTACTCTCTTTCTTTCGATTTGTTTAGTGATTAAAAAATATATTTATAGAAGTAGTCTAAACCTCGGCTCGTATAATTGCGAGTTTGAACCTGAATGAAAACGAAAGGATTGTTCAAGACCGTGCGGCCACAAACCAGCGTCTCATAGAAGATTTTTTTGCCAAGCCAACGATTTGCGGGTGCAATTGCAATAATTCCAACAACGTTACGATGAAAGAGGTGAACTTCGACTTACGCATTTGCAAAAGTGTGCATCTGCAATTCGGCAATTGGCTTACGGTACAAGTTCTAATTCTTGGGATGAATATCTGAAGATGTCCGAAAAAATAAGTCGTGACACTTCACAAATTTTGCAAAGGTATTTGTTCTTATATTTAATTTGTAATACTTATTTTTTCCAAATATATAGGATACAATTTTAATTTCTATTATATTTAAGGTGTCATGGCACTAAACGGTGAAAAATATTTGCAGAAACTGTCATGGATTGACATTCAAAAATATACGGCGTACATGAGGAGGTGCATGGATTTTGAAGAATGTTTGGTACCATTGACTGTATGCACTAGGAGTGTGCGACCTACCCAACAGCTTGGCCGGGCCAATATCAATGGGCCGCAGGGTGACCGTAGTCATCTGGCATTGATGCTTGAAGCACTAGCGTTAAATGATCTTTCGATATGCATGCTTTCTTCAGAGTTTACGGATCAAGTAATGATTTCAATGTTCTTGATCCGTATTTAGTTTTTTATTATATCGTTAATGGATTTACAACTACGTCATTTTTATTGCCAATGATACGGAGTATAATTTTGGTTATTATCTAGCCGATGACATCTACCCAAAGTGGGCTCCAATGGTGAAGTTGTTTACCTGCCCACGCAAGGACGATGTGAACATGTGTTTTTTAAGAAAACTCAAGAGTCTGCTAGAAGTGATATCGAGCACGCCTTTCGTGTGCTAAAGAAGATGTGGCATCTTATAGCTAATCCCGCAAGAATATATGGGAGAAACAAAAAATATCAAACTCTATGTACACGTGTATTATTTTAGATAATATTATAGAAAACAATGAGTTAGCTATCCGTGCAGACTAGCCGGACGATGACAATGGTGGAGAGGTCACTGATGATGAGTGATTTGCAAGACGTGGCTAAATCCATAGTAGAGAAACGTACAACAACCTTAGAGCGTATTTAAGAGAGCATCTTTGAAAAATCAAAATTCAAATTAGCGTTACGTGTATTATTTTTTCTTTCATGTACTTCGTGTTTTTTTATTTAATTATAGCTTGTATTTTTTTAATTTGTGTAATTAATGAGTTTTTAAATTAATTATTTTTGTGCATTTAATTTGTTATAATACAAAAATTCGAAAAATATTATTAATCTAAAACTAGAAATTTAAATAACAAAATAAAAATAGAATAAAACAAAAAAATATTTTTAATTATTTTATATTATTATTTTATAAAAGAAAAAATTTAATTTTAATAGAAATAGGTAAATATTAAAAAAATAAAGTGTACTCATTGTAGTGGATGTGAGACACTAGAGGTGTGAAATGAGTGAGATGGTGAGTGCTGATGTGGCGCTGAATGGCGTTGTTGATTTTTGAGTGAGTAGTGATAGAGCGCTAAAAAATTGTACTCTCTCCATCTCAAAAAAAGCTTTTTGTTTTCTTTTTCAGGACGTCCTAAAAAGGTTTCCTATTTCTTTTTTGAAAAGTTTTTTGTCTCACCATATTTATCTTCCTCTTGTGCATAACTTTTAACCACTCAATTTCACTTTGTTTTACTCCTTAGAAACTCAAACTTCTGTAAAATTTTGTACAGTCTCCCACTTAGCAAAAAAATGGAAATATTTCTTTTAGAGGGGATAAAATATAACACTCTATATATTTTTTACTTAAACATTTGATATAAATTAAAAATAGAAATATTTAAGAGGTTCTTATACTATATAAAAACTTGTAAATTAGTTGTTATAGTCAAAATTGAAGCATTATAGTTTTTGTGTTGTTCTTTTTTGTTCATTTTGGTTCTTCTAATTACTTGTACCCTTATTTATTATCTCCATCCGTAATTTTTCTTCTCATCCTGGTTTATGAGGTTTGAATAAATTATTTTAAATTCAATTAATGTGATTATTTGTTAGAACTGAAAATAAATTTTACTACCTCCGTCCCATTTTAAATTGCTTGTTTGCCTTTTTTCTCCGTCCCAAAATAAGTTGCCTGTTAGTTGTTTTCGTAAACTTTTAAAAATAAAATACCTAAACTACTTCTAAAATAAGTCAATCTTCTCCACATTATATTCTCATTCATCATCATCCCTTCTAAAAAGTATTGACAATTTCGAAAAATCAACTCTATTTTTAATTTTCCTTAAATATGCCCAAAAGTCAAAACGGGCGATTTAAAACGGGACGGAGGAAGTATATATTTAGATCCAGAAAATCCAATTCGTTCAGTTATAATAAGAGATACTAATGGTCGAAGTGTTACTTTATTTGTTTTATTTGTTAAGTAATCCAGGTGAGTTCGTAGGCTTGTTCCATTACTAGAAATCGCATCTAGCATTATTTCACATATGTATCCTATCGTATATTTGTATTATGTAAAATTTGATTGTGATTGTTTGATTATGATTTTTTTAAAATTGATTGATTGATGAAGGAAAAGCCATGTTTGATTTCCTACCACAATTTTTGTTATTTGGGTGCTAAGATATCCATGAATACTTGGTGGTAACTATTAAATCCTGGAACCCCAAAATCTGCCTCTGTTCTTTGAAGTTCAATTCGCTGATTGATGGTGGGGCTCTACCGCACGATGGTGGGGCCGCTACTGCAACAGAGTTCTAGCCGCTGAATAGTGTCCCGGACAATACCGAGGTACCGTGAGGCGATACCAAGGTACCATACCAGACAACTTCCACCCATTTGATTGTTTGTTTGTTTCGATCTAAGTCACAGATTGATTCCGAGACCTTGTGTGTTGCAGGATGGTAAGTGAACGATGTTTACACCACCCGACACTAAGCCAATAAATCTTATATGAGGTGAAATACTATGAAGTCCATAATGATTGTTACCCTTTTACTACTACCTCAATATAATATCAATTTAAGATTTATTGAATTGTGAAATTGAATACGGATAGGCTACCTAGCTGAGCTGTAGATAGACTAAAAAACAGGATAAGAATATAGTTAGGAGTTTCTGGTCATGTGATGAGTCGGCATGCACGCATGATCAGTTGGGTAAAGCGTGCGCATGGGGGTCTAAGATCTATTCATGGATGTTAGTAGGTGGTCCCACCTGTCGACGTATGATGACGTCGTATCGAGCAGATTCTTCCATGGATGTGGTTGAATTAGGACTTTAGGAAGATTAGAGAATTAGTGTTAGCCTATGATAGGTTATGAGCTTAAAATTAATGGAGATTTGTTATGAAGTTTACATATGTATCATGTGATATAAATGCCTTAGTTGACAACAAAGTACATTTTTGTATCTAAGGTAACAAGACACTATTTATGAGTTGTTCGGTGTTGTTGATATTACATGATGTTGTTATGTGATACTATTTGTTGCATGGAATGATATAAATAATTATGTATTTTGAATTCGTCCTATGTGTGACTTCTAGTGTTAAAACCTCTCACTTAGTGTGAAATTAAAGTTGAGCATGTAAATAATACTGTTTCCATTTGAATTGGTTATGTTTTTCGGGCATGAACCCAAAGTTATATTTTGAATTAAGTACATAAGCTTCCGCACTGTTTTATATTACTCCTACGGATATTTAAATATTGGTTTTTGAATTAAATATTTTAAATTATTTTGTAAATTTGTGTTTGAATGCCAAGGTATGTTAGGATTATGCAAGTTAGGGTGTTACATAATCCCAAGGTGTTGAGTTACCTCTCGGTACAGTACGTTGACACTTCTCTCTAGTCTTTATATCAACCAATATTCTTTTTACAAATTAAAAGACAATGAATGGTCATAGAAATTACCAAGGGAGTCTTGTGTGGGCCCGGAGTAAGTGGTTAATCATCATCGGAGAAAACAATGGGCTCCCTCTTTCCACACTTGGCCATTTGTTCAATATGCACGGATGCCACGTGTAGCCTACGCGCTCACTCATTCCTTTCCTTGGCAGTGATCATTGTCTCTGACTATCCAAACATGACGCCAACTTAGGAGAATCTTTTTCTGGGTTCTCATGTGCTAGCTTGTGTTGCCCATTCCTACCCCAAACATTGCCACCTACATTTGGCCCTTGGTTTTCTCCTTGGCCTCCCTCTCTTTCCTTCATTCGGTCATCTATATTTTTAAGGGATACACACTCCTTTATATAGTGCCCTTCTTTTCTATGAAAATCACAAAACTTAGTTGGGTTATAGTTATAGTTCCACTGCATCCTCTTCTGGTCTCCATGCTTTCTTTTCTATCCCCCTCCTCTTTTATTTCTGTCACTTGGGCAGCCTCTCCCAGGACAAAGGGCTTGAAAGTAAGGGCAGAGGTCATTGGTGCTTTGGCCTTTTCAGGCTTCTTCACGAAAAAACTTGTGAGAAGTTCCTTCACCCTT